AACACAATGAGTCTCTGATGAGAGACGTCACTCTGACTCTGTCATCTGAAGAAATATCGATAAAAAAATGATTCAAGTAATACCAAGAGTAATGTCGATGAGCGATGTGGCATATTAGAGTGGGTACTTGCAGAAGAATAAGTCTAAATAATTCATATTATGTGCATTTCTTGGATTTGAGATTTCTTATCTGTACGTCTCGTATTTGGATCAAAGAACTCGATGAATTAAACTGACATATTTAGTCTCCTGCAGCTGTTATTTCAATGTGTCAGATACATATTTAATCGACATTTAGCGAGCTAGAAGTATCACAACAACATGTGCTGTTATTAATCAACTGTTTTTATTTGAGTAACAGTAAACCCTGTCCAGAGTGAAACACAATGAAGACAGACAGACTGTTGGAATGAATCGCCCGAGTGCATATTTTTGAGGATTCTCTAATGGTGATGATGATGATGATGGTGTGTGCGTGTAGGCTGGACCTGGTGGAGAGCTTCGTTTGTGACTCGGAGCTCAGGCAGACCTGTCAGGAGGACTTGCTACGGCGGTTCCCGGACCTTCACCGCCTGGCCAAGAAGTTCCACCGTTACTCGGCGTCACTCCAGGACTGCTTTCGCGTCTACCAGGCCGTGAGCCACGTCCCGGCCCTCGTCTCGGCCCTGGAGAGATACTCGGGTACACACGAGAAACGGAAATATGCTTATTGTTTTTTCTGTGGCTGGTAATGAACCGGCTAAACCGGCAGTTTATATGCATGCGTAGCCCCCTGTCCCTCCCCACCGTCCACACCACACACACACACACACGAGTGCATTCACCATCTTTTGATACGGAGTTGTGTGTGTTGCAGGTAGCTACCAGGTTCTGTTGGATGCGGCGTTCATCTCTCCTCTCAGAGACCTGCAAACGGACTTTGTTAAGTACCAGGAGATGATCGAAACCACGCTGGACATGAACCAGGTCTTTGCTTTTATGGTTAATGTTCAAAGAACATTTGTCTCTCCTGTTATGCTTGTCGACTGTTTCCCCCGTCGTTGACGTGTAGTTCTCCTTACGCGTTGTGTGCAGATTGACCACCATGAGTTCCTGGTGAAGGCTTCATTCGACCCAGCGTTGAGTGAGCTGAGAGAAAACATGGACGCTCTGGAAAAGAGCATGCAGGCGGTGCTCAGTGGTGCAGCCAGGGAACTAGGTGAAGACACAATGGACACTAAGAAACAATTTATTTCTCACTGATAGACCCATCAGTGCAAAGCGGTTTGATTCTGTGTTTCTAGGGAGTGACTAGAGGCGTGCATCTGCTGAGTTTTTCCTGGAGGTGTGACAAAACTCCAAAGCAATTCAATCACACCATGCGCTCATCATGTGCTGCAGAGGCATTTTTTTAAAGTGTAGTAAATGTTAAACTGTGCATGTTTAAGACAAACTTCAGCGGCCGCATCCGTCACAGTCCGATCCCTCCAACTAAAAGACCAAGATGAAGGGTCGCACTGAATGTCAATACTGAAACCGTAGTTTAGTTAGACAGTTCGTATCGGCAGTTTAATGAATTATGGTTAGTGTCTGGTAATGTACAGCAAAACTATTAATCGGGTTTTAGTATAACTTGTCTTTTGGGGGGAGAAACATCTGGGTTGTCTTGCGTTGTCAGGCTTTGTCAATAGATTTCCGTGCCCGGAACACACAACTCCCGACACCATTCATGCTGACGCTTGGCTTCGTCCTACCTGGGTGTTGTGAGAACTTTAGCCTTTAACTGTGCGCTTCAGGTCTGGACGCCGGTAAGACGGTGAAGCTGGAGTCCAACGCCATGCTGGGCTTCTACCTGAGAGTCACCTGCAAGGAGGAGAAGAGCCTGAGGAACAACAAGAAATTCACCACCCTGGACGTCCAGAAGAACGGAGTGCGCTTCACCAACAGGTCCGTCTCACGGCCTCACGCGCCGCCTCTCGGGTGAAATGGCGCTCCGGCCGTCCTCTGATGGACCCGTCGGCCCGCTTGTGCTCTTGTTTGCAGCAAGCTGAGCTCCCTGAATGAGGAGTACACAAAGAACCGAGCGGAGTACGAGGAGGCCCAGAACGCCATCGTCAAAGAGATCATCAACATCGCCTCAGGTGAGGAACGCCGTCGCACGCTGCTCCCAGCGCCGTTCCTCGATCGATTTCACCAGATTTAAGTTCTACGTAATCTCATTCCACCGCCAGGCTACGTGGATCCTCTCCAGACGCTGAGCGACGTGACGGCGCAGATGGACGCGGTGGCGAGCTTCGCCGTGGCGTCCGTGTCGGCTCCCGTGCCGTACGTTCGTCCCCGGCTGGTGGCGGACGGCCGCAGGCGCGTGGAGCTGCGGCAGGCCAGACACCCCTGCATGGAGACGGACGCAGACACTGCCTTCATACCCAACGACGTGTCCTTCGCCCAGGGAGAGAAGGACTTCTATATCATCACGGGTATAAAGAGAGGGCTCACTTCACACGTCACATGCGCTCCCAAGGTGTGAGGGGGGGGGCGGCAGTTCTCTGCAGGGTCGTCACTTTGTGTGAACTCTTGACACATTTTCCCACTTCTAAGATGGACACGGTTCCTAAGTGTCCTGAGGAACCGTTAACCAATTTCCCAGGTGCTACAGGTGACTTGCTAGCCAGCGTGCTGCATCGTTGCGCTGAAAGGGACCACAAGACATTTGCAGGTGTTTGCATTATTCTGTGATCAATTTTGTCATAGTTTCCAGGCACATATATTATAAAGTGCCACAGACGGACTGAGTCTAAATTTCCACAGAGATGGCGTGATCCCTGTCAGCCACATAATCCTGGAAAAGATCTTCTCACACATTCCACAAATTGGTCCCGCATCAGAACAATGAAAAACAAAGAAGAATCTGTTTTTTTTTTTTTCTCCTTTTCTTTCTCTCAAATCTGTTGACGCTCAAACGCACATCTTTCACGTTTTTTCCGATGAGTTTGAAACACAAAGAATGCTCAGACGTTTAGTTCCTCGTCTAATTCTTAAGTGTAGTTCCTCTTCTTATGACGCAACTCACACTTTAAACCCTTCTCCCCTGTTCCGCAGGACCAAATATGGGTGGCAAGTCGACGTTTATCCGTCAAGTGGGGGTTATTGCTCTGATGGCTCAGATCGGCTGCTTCGTGCCGTGCGAAAAGGCGGAGCTTAGCGTGATTGACAGCATCCTGGCCAGGGTGGGAGCGGGAGACAGCCAGGTCAAAGGAGTGTCCACATTCATGTCTGAGATGCTGGAGACGGCTGCCATCCTGCGGTAAGAACAGACGCGAAAGCTGGATTTTAGAAACACACAAAGATGACCCGCAATTCATTGCGCGTGTCACCCCCCCGCAGCTCGGCCACGGAGAACTCGCTCATCATAATCGACGAGCTCGGCAGAGGCACGTCCACATACGACGGCTTCGGCCTGGCGTGGGCCATCAGCGAACACATTGCCTCCGAAATCGGCTGCTTCTGTCTGTTCGCCACCCACTTCCACGAGCTGACGGCGCTGGCAGCGCAGCGGCCCGCCGTCCACAACCTGCACGTCACGGCCCTGACCTCCCACGACACGCTCACTATGCTGTACCGCGTCAAATCAGGTCAGCGCGCATTCATAATATTTACGTGAAGTGAGATTGATGTCTTTTTTGGGGGGGGGAAATCTGGACAGGCAGTTGAACTGCCCCTAACCGTGTGTCAAGGTGTGTGCGATCAGAGTTTTGGAATCCACGTTGCCGAGTTGGCGTGCTTCCCGCCATCGGTGATCGCTGTGGCGAAGGAGAAGGCGGAGGAGCTGGAGGAGTTCCAGGAGCCTGCGGGGGAGAAGTCTGAGCAGGAGGAAGAGCCTGAGGCCAAGCGACGGCGCACAGACAGACAAGTACGGTTGAGTTCCCCAGTGACCTTCTGAACCGCGTGATACTCCTGACGGGCTGAACTGTAACAATTCAGCTTTTTAGAATGAATTGGACTATTGAATATAAGAAAATAGCAAGGTTTGTTTGGCCAAAACCGGAAAAGCCTATAAATTAACTTGAATGTAAAAAAAAAAAAAAAAAAATTTGAAAAGGTAACATTTTCCCAACACTCACGCATTTAACCAAATATGTTGCCACGGTTTCCGTTCAGCCCATGTGGTGGGGTTAGTTTTTGCTATTAATTATTTTTTATAGCCCAAAATTGCAAATCTGCCTCAGAGGGCTTTATAGTCTGTACACATGAGACATGCCCTCAGCGGACCACCTCCCCCAAAATGAAAAAACCTTATGCATAACTGCAGAGGGAGATCCGTCCTCGGGGAGGGACAGACTGTGATGGGTGTCCATCTTGAACTTCAAATGTACATATTGCGGTGGGAAAAATCGACTCCTCCTCCCGAAGTATGAAGGCCACGCATCTTGATGACTGATATGTGGTTTGCGTGCAGCTCAAGCTTTGAAGAACCGACAACCTGATTTCAATCACCGGGTTCATAGGACATCTGATCAGCTTAGTTTAACCGCCAACGGGGCCTTTGCCTCGGAGTTATGTTGCTATTTGTTTTGCCTGTGTACACAATATGAACAGGATGTAATACAAGAACATGTTTCAGCTGACCCCAACATAAAATGTAAATTCACTTTCATGTGGCTGAAACCCCCCCCCCACTCTTTTAGGTGGGGGAGAACCTGATCCAAGACTTCCTGGAGAAAGCTAAATCCCTCCCTGCTGCCACCATGAGTGAAGAAGAGGTGAAGGACGCCCTCAGGAAAATGAAGCAGGAGCTTGTCGCCAAAAACAACACGTATATAAAAGAGATCCTTTCACGCTGTGTTCCTGCAAAAACAGCTTGATTTGAAACTCCCTTTTGTCCATCGAGGTCAACTAAGTTCTGATATTGTATACATCAATAAAGAATAACTGCAGCTAGCGTTTTTTTGTGACAACATAGTGATCCTTTAGCAGACCATTTTTATGAAACTGCAGGGTGTGAATTAAAAACAAGACACCTGTGATCTAATAAAGTTTTATTTTCTTAGAAATGGCCAGTTTCCTGTTCTTTTTTGTCTTTCTAAGAAAGTATACCCCTTTTTGAATTCCAACTAGCATCTACATAATGGTTATTGAGTACTTCACAATATATTAAGTCTAGATGTTATGGTACATGCATACGATTCAGGCTGCATGAGGAGCCACAGTCACCACGATACACAGGGGGGGGGGCAGCAGATTGACTCCGTTCCAGTTCAAGGGAGCTCCAACGCCTCCTATTGAAACCCTCTCCACAAAACACTGACTGCATCAACGTATAAACATATACACACACACACAACTTTCACTGTACACAACACTCACTCCTTTGTACAAGTGTGGAGCCCCTCCACCTGCCATTTAAGCTAATATACCGGAGAGGGTTTTTAGTGTTTAAATTCTCTTTCACAGAAAGAACTTCACCACTGGGACGCTTGAGTGTCTGCGCTCTGCCTTGGGGTCGGGATGGGTGCTAACCAAAGGAAAATAATTATATATAATAAAATAAGACATTCAAATACACTCAACTTTTTGCTTGAAAATACAAAACTACATGAGAAAGCATTGAAATAAAATCCATTGAGAACATTTTTTTTTTCTTAAAAAGCCCAAGTGCTCCATCACACACACACAATCTTGCTCTTTATCCACACACAACAGAGCAGGGCAACATCCACCCATCTGTTGCCTAGTTACAACTGCCTGGGAAGCCAATGGTGATGGCAGCTGCGAGGAAGCAGGAAGTCTCTTGACAGTTTGTGAGGAAGAAGAGGGCTGGGAGCCAAGGATTAACGGTGGGAGGCGAGGAAGGAGGGAGGGGGGGGGGTTTCATGCGCTGACAGAGAGGCGAAGGCCACCATCGACAGCTGCATTGCCCTTCTCTCCTCATCTTTGTCTACAGACTGCAAATAAGAAACTCAGGTGAGGAACCCCTTGCGGCTTCTGTCGGTCGCTCCACTGCTCCCCCTAGTGGAGCCCGTCTCTGCCTGCAGCCTGTCTGCTACAGCGGGCAGCTTCCTCTGCAGCCTCTTTCACCAGTATCCCGCACGAGAGCGCTGCGATCACAGAGTCTCTCTGGGTCCTTATGGCTGCAAGTGTGAGTGTGTGTGTGTGTATATTTAACTGTGTGCGTGCGTATGTGTGAATGGCTGTGTGCAACTTAATGTGTTTATATGCTTGTGTGACTGAGTGGAACTGGACCGGATGCCTTCAGTTGTGTTGCAGCGTGTTGGACTCGATGGGCGGCGCCGAGTCATACAGAGTGTCTGTGTCGTGTGTCGGCTCCCCGGCGAGCGTACACGGGTTGGACAACGTTCCCGCTCCGCAGTCACAGAAGAACCTGAGGGAAGCAGACATTAAGGGTTGTATCCACAGCCCAGTCATACAATAGAGGAGAAAAAAAAATGACATTGATGTTCCGAGTCATTCACCCCCCCCCCCCTCCAAAAAAACAAGGTCTTACCGATCATGGCGTATAAACTCTACATCGTGCCCTTGATGGCATTTTTTGATGCAATTTACACAGATTGCGTTCCTATCCGTTGTGTTACAGGTGTGACATCTGGTGGGACAAAGTACAAGAACAGATTAATTTACATAACAATGAGAAAGGAAGACTTTTACTGCCAATTACTATTGTAGTAGGACTTGAGTCCAGCTAATAATAATAATAATAATAATAATAATAATAATGGGTTGCAACGAACGATTAAATTGAAGTTGAAGTGGATGTTTTCAAAATTTCTCTTTTGTCAAAAAACAAGTATCGATCATAACCGTTACATACTAATCTCGTGTTTACTCCACTCTGAAATCTAAAACAGACTTTCTGAACAGTTCATTCAACACAGTTCACCTGTAGAAGTCGTGCATGGGGTAACTGGTGTAGCTGGAGATCTTGTAGAGGCACTGTCCTCTGCTCACCGCCTTCTCAATGGCATCCTGGTTATTGAGAATCTTATTATCTGACACAGAGAGGGGGGGAGGTGGAAGGGTTAGTGTTCGGAGTGTGATCAGAAAACTTGTATCTGGACGGGGCAAAAGATGAAACGTCCACAAAGCAGCTAGTTACCTTTCATGGTGACGTTGACTCCTGAGGCCAGAAACAGGCCTCCAAAGCGATTGTTGAAGATCTGGTTGCCCTCCAGAGTGGCTGTGGCGTGGTTGGTGATTTCAATACCTTGAGAAGTAAAAATGAACGTCTGTCATCAGCGCCAGCAGGAGAAGCTGAGGGGTCATTTTTGCTCATGTGGAAAACAAAAGGAAAGAAGCTTACCTGCAGCGAAGCCATCAAAAATGCGGTTCTTGCGCAGTATCGGGTGGCTGTTTGTGCTGATTAGCACACCGGCCTGAGCGTTCCTGAAGATGTCGTTCTCTTCCAGCAGACCTACGGAGAAGGATATTTTAGGTTTGAAGCTGTAGATTAAGATCTAGACACTGAAATATATTTTTCCACAGTCTCCTAGTTTTGCTGCAGGCGACAAAGGCAACAACATGTTGTACCTTTTACTATAGAAACGTAAACGACGGCTCGCTGGAGGGAGATCGCTGAAATGTCCCACTGGCTGTTGGCTATGTTGTGTAATTTACGGTAAACATCCTAATTTGAAAAAGGGTTTTGTCTCCAGTCTGACCTCAAGCACAAAGCTTATAATACATTGTTTGTTCACGTGACGTACAAGCACTTGCTTATTGTACTATTCATTTTTTCGGGAGGCCACATCGTGCGTATCTGGCAACAGATGGCGTTCAAGTACCTCTGCCTCCGTTGAAGATGCAGATGCCTCCATCTCTGCCGTCGTGAATCTTATTTCGTCGCAGCGTGGGGTTGCTATCCGTCTTGATCCACACCCCCGCCATGGCATTATCAAAGATCTCATTGTCCTCAATGAAGCCAAGACCTGTTGTATTAAGCAGCGCATTAGACACACGTTCACTAGACATGCGACAGAGCGGCAGAGCGAGAAATACAGACCTGAGTTGTAAACTAAAATCCCGCCATTCTGGCCTCCCCATATCTTGTTGCGCCTGATCTTTGGGTTGCTCCCCGTCCTGTCAAGATTTAACACCATGTCAATAGTTGTATTGCAAACAGTTTGAATGGAAAAAGAAAGCTAAAGACACGCATTACCTGCTTAAAAAGGTCATAATCTTTACCTTATTTGCACACCAGAGTACATGTGATTGTAGATGTCATTGTCTTCCAACACACCATGCCCGTTGTCATAGAAGTACACACCCACCTAAAAAGGTTAAATTAAAGGAAATGATGACAACATATGTTTTACTATCAGGATTACAGACATAATGTGCAGATTCAACATTCAAGTTACACTTTACAGACATTAAAAGTAAATTAAGAGAACTAAAGACGGTCAAAGACCTCAGTGTTTGGTTATTGGAGGATTAAAATTAACGTTTTTCTCTTTAAGGCCACGAGACTACTAAATTTACCGCATTTATCAGATGGTTATGTGAGTTTTTGTTGTGAACTATCATGATCATGATCACAACCATAGTTAACACAACGACCATTGATAAGAAAACCATGTAGATGAAGCCATGTCATCATGCAGAAATAAACATCAGTCACAAGGGGAAATTATTTCAGCAGGGCCGCAAAATTTTGGTTCACACACATAAAACCCCTCAGTTAAAGTGCGTGCACATGATGTTTACTTGTGTCGAACCATAACCACATTCCTTTGAATAGCTTTAATTAGTTAGATACTTCTAACTGAATGATTCGAGTAATAAAAATCCTGCACAAACAGTCAGGACGAAGCAGCCCATCAATGCTGCGTCTCCCTCTCGAATGTCAAAAAGCACGTTGAGGAAATTAAATCAAGATTTATAAACCGGTGTACATGTGCACAGGGTGACCCCGGTATCGGTACCTGTTTTCCACTGTGGATGCGGTTCTTGCGGAGGACGGGAGTGCTGCCCGTGGTCACCCAGACTCCTGCCAGTGTGTTGCTGTAGACCTCGTTCTCCTCGATCACTCCCTGGCCTTTCTCATGCTGAAACACAAACGCAGAGTCAGCCGTTTAATCCTCCCGACACGTGCAAGATTTTTATTTTATTTTTTAAAACAGGAAAAGATTTGGCCTGTACTTCTGCGAGAAGAATTACATTTTAACCAAAAAAAGAGGAGTGCATTTACCACATAGATGCCCCCGTGTTGTCCGTCGTGGATCTTGTTGTGCCGGACAATGGGGCAACTGTTGGTTCGGATCTGGATTCCCGCCAAGGCGTTACCATAGATATCGTTACTCTCTATCAAACCCCGTCCATCTCCAAATATGTACACCCCTCCCTGGTTACCGTTGAATATAGCATTTCCCCTAGACATACAAAAAAAAAAGGAAAAAACAGTCACAATCTTGGAATAGAGATAAAATTAACACATGACCATGTGTGTGTGTGTGTGTGTGTGTGTGTGTGTGAGAATCAGCGTATGCCAAGCCACACATTTTCGGTCACCATTGACATTGATCTTGTACACAAGCGGCGTCTAAATAGCCACCGTCCTGCTGTGGGTTTGCAAGAGACGCCCGGAGCGACGCGTGGTGCCTCACCGTATCGTCGGGTCGCTGTTGGACGTGATCCACACGCCAGCAAAGTTGTTGGCATAAATTTTGTTCTCTATAAACTGTCCCCGTCCCTTCTCGTGGACGTAGATGCCCCCCGTTTGGCCGTGATGGATCTCGCAGCGCACCACTGTGGGGTTGGCGTAGGCCTTCACTTCGAAGCCGGCGATGCGGTTTCTATGGATGTTGCAGTTCTCAAAGTAACCCTGAAACACAGCAAAGACGACCGATCAGATGGTCAGTGACGACTCTGTCGAGTGAAACGTACGACACGACGCAGCGCGTGTGTTTACCATGCCGTGATCAAAGGTGAACACCCCGACATCTCGACCGTGGTGGATGTGGTTACGTCTAATGATGGGGTTACCGTGGTTTTTCACCCAAATTCCTGCTAGCGCATTGTTGCTGATTTCATTGTCTTCGTAGATGCCCTGGAACGGATGAGGAGAGAGTCAGAAGGCTGTGCAAAGTTGTGTGTGCGGATTCACGGCAAATAACTCGAGGCGGAAAAAGAAACTTTTACCTGTGCGTGATCTGTAATGTACAGTCCCACATTCTCACAGTCACTGATGTTGCAGTGTTTGATGTTTGGACAAGCTCCCTGACCGCTCACACACACAGCCGAACCCACTAAAACACAGGGGGAACAAAAACACAAGTGTCACACTAAATCACTTCTATCGATTTAGCAACAGTCAAAACAAAAGATGAGTAGGGTCATTTACAGCCTTCAGACGAAGGACCCCCCCCCCACCAAATTATGTTTAAGCATAAGTGACCAATAAAGCACATTCTGATGACTTGTGTAACACACACAATAAATAAAAGCTTCCAGATGCCAGATAAAAAGTGTGGTTCCATGAGGAGGCTATGAAAACGCAAATGTAAAAAAAAAAAAAGCTCGCTCCAAAACGAGTGAATCTGTGGTGTCATGTGAGCTACGTAATCCCCATTGAGCCAGGTGGGGGGGAGCCCACTCTGAATTGTGTGCTTACAAACTGCAACACACACATTCTAACCATTTAGTGATGAACCAAAGTTAGGGGCTCTTGACAGACTGTTTCAAGCTCTAGAAAAATATGAACAGCCTTGAACCGTTATAACACAAGAGCACACACACACACACACACAAAGTACCATAGCATTTAAAATAGTACAACATCCACGCTGTAAATTCTACTTTCGTGAACCTCATGTTGCATTTCTGAACGTTTTTATTTGCGGTGTGGGTGCTCATGTTATTGTGTCCCCTCCCAGTGGTCAGTGTGTGCGTTACCTGTGCACGTCGAGCGGATGATGCAGTGGTCGATGTTGGGGCTGCAGTTAACGGTGATCTCCAGACAGTGGTGGGCGTTGTGGTGCTGCGCCGACTTATCGTCAGGATTAAACTGCGCAGAGGGAAGCAGCAGAGGTCAGACAGTGGCTGCGCTTACTGACAACACATCAAGCTTCTTTCCACCCACCACATCCACACCAGACTCTCCCTACTGGAGGCATTAGTGCCACTAATAATGGTAGCTGCCAACAGGCTAAAAACCAATCCTCAAAAACTACAGAGACAAATCTTCTAGCTGGTTTTATAATACCCTGGTCATGGGAATCCTTACGAGACCAATGTTTGTCGTTTGTCTCGTTCGCGGCTCTTATTTACAGACACGCAAGAAGTCTCCGTTTGGGAAATAATAATCTTGTCTTCAACTATGAATAAATAATCAATTGAGACTACGCTGGCTTTTCCCAGTACGAGTTAATAGCTTAGTATAGACAATAGTATAGTAATAGACAGTAGTCCCCTGTGATACTTTAATGCACAGCCTATCCACAAGTTAGAAGAGATGTAAAAGACTTGAGATCTGTGCCCACCTTGATGGTCATGTATCCCACATAGGCATCCTCTGAGCCCTCCATGAAGACAAATGTCGAGTCCCTAGTATTCTCTATCACCACCTTGTCTGCTACTTTACCAGGAGCTACGGGGAAAGCACATTAAAACTCATATAAATATGGACATTATCACCACAGAGTGAATGCGATCTTAAGAGAATGTGATACCATGAGGCGCAAACAATTGAATAGAATATTTTCTAGTGGGGGAAACATGCATACCTGCACCAATCATCGTGATGGGAGACTCTATATAAATCCACTCGTCTGTATAAATGCCAGAGTGGACAAAAATTAGACCGTCAAAGTGGGCCTCCTGCACTCCACCCAGTGCATCCTCAATGGTGTCGTAATACTGCAGGAGAATAAGGTAAAAAACACTTTACAACAGAACCCACACACACACACCTACGATTCTTCACAAGGTGTTCCGGAGAACCCAAGCAGGTGTTTACATTGGCTGGGCTTTGCATAAATGTCATTGTGAAAGATAGCCAGTGAAAGAAATCCTGAATGATTTTTGTGTTTTCGCCATGACCTACCAGCATATTCTCTCTGCCTTTGTATCTTCCGGGGTTACTGTAGAAATGCTCAGCAAAGCCTGGTTTTACATGAGCACCTTTGTACTGCAACACAGAAAACATCACAAGTCAATTTTCTGGTGAACACACCAAATATTAAAATACTTCTCGTACCAATTTACATGCATCCAAGTTTTTGAATTGAAAAAACAACGCAGATTGAATGTGCTACACAAAGATACAACAATGAGCCAAAGTCAGTGGTTCCCAACGTTTTTGTAATACAACCCTTTAAAGCAAAGCAATGTGTACTTATGACAGAGTTATTACAAAACCGAACACGCAGTGCAATTCGTGTGCATGTAATCAATGTTTGACGTCCACCCTGAACTTCCCCTTTTCATTACATTACATGTCATTTAGCTGACGCTTTTATCCAAAGCGACTTACAATAGGTGCTTTAAACCTCACGACCTCTGACGATTAGTCTGAGAAAAACTCTGCATTTAGATAAATAGATGTGATATGCACGCCATTATTGACATAGACCGTAGGACAACACTACCATTTCATGAACATGTTATGGAACGGCATAGTATTATTCACCGCTAGAATGAACGTCTGAGAAACACTATGTGTTGTTTATGGACAGAACAAACTAAGGAAGTGCTTAAAAAAGTATGAGTGGCTACAATGTCAGCGTATCTAATTAATTACCTAATTAGTTACATAAGCTGCAGTGGTGGAAGACTTGGTCTTCTTCGCCCCACCACAGTTTTCTAATGAATCAAAAAATGTTTCAGCCCAACAAGCCGGCCGTCTCCGGCGCACGCATTTCCTCCGCAGCGGTGCACTGCGGACTTTGCCATGTACTTAGTGCGCACAAAGCGCCATGTTCCCGGTGCAATGGAAGCAAGTTCTGTTTATCTACTTCGCGCCATTCAGTACCAGGGACAGCACATTAATCGGAGTTTTCGGCCACTTTACCACAAGCGTAAATTTGGTCAACTTTTTCCAGGATGCGTGAGAGCCCTTTTAATGTGCTGTGCAGAGAAAATAAAATGTTGACTGTGTTGTTTTCACTTTGACTCAAACTACAGTCATTCATATTGCACATTCCAATGAAGGAGGACATGCTTATTTTCATTTTCTACCACTTACATTAGGACTATATTTCCTAACAATTGACACAAAGCCTATTTAAAAAAGGTACATATCTTTGCTTGAATGCCATTTAGTCGGGACAGGGTAATTCATTTGATATAAACGTAATACTACTATAATATGATTATAATTCAATGCATGAATGGGAAACATGGCAAGGATATATCTCTATATAGACATAGGCATCTGTTGGTCTACCGGAACAACCCCATTGTAAGTCCTTAGCCCTGTTATATTGTGATACTTATGCTTCTCACGGTTTATTTCAAAATATTTAGATTCCTTTTCCCAGTGTGTGTAGTGTACTGACTTTACTTCTTTCCCAAAGTGAGATCGTGTTACCTATTGCAAGACCACATATCACTTTTTAAGAACAGCAGTTTGTTTTTAATACATAGCGAGAAAATGTGAAGAAACAATAAATCGACTGCGTGCAAAGTTTGATGGTCTTCAGAGAGCATTTCTTCTTCACAGTAAAACAAAACACAGAAAACTCTCAGGGCAGACTTACCAGCTGTTGGAAGCTCTCCTTCCAGGGGTTTGGGTGTTCATGCTCCTCGGGGCTGACTTGGTAGAACCTGCCGGGCTCAGGATGCATCATGGGACGCGTGTACTCAAACACCTCCATGTATAGACGCTTCCTAGAATATTAAATACCACAAAATATATTTCAGTTTTCCACCGTTGAATAAAATAACAAGTCTACATTTCTTAAGCAGCACTAACCAGAGGATGGGGTCGTTGGCTAGCTGGCTGAATCTCTTGCAGACACAAGCTGCCTGACAGAGGTCCTGTTCCAGTAAGTAGGAGAAGATCTTTAAAACGACCTCATCTGGAAGCTTCTGCTGCAAATATTGCTCTGCTGGTGCTGCTAAAGACACAAACATTCACAATGTAAGCTTTAGGAAAACATATTTTCAATCAGAGCACATTAAGCTATGGAACCATGCTATTAAATTGAGTGCAAAGTAACAAGAGTTACCGTCGCACAAAGAAAATCAATAAAGATTCAAAAACACTCTCAAAATCACTCTCCTTTCCCCAGCTGCGGAGATTTAACACACACCTGGCAGATCGTGGCTCTTACCGGACACTCGTGCCCGCTTGGCTCGATGGCCAAAGGCCTCTGTTGATGAAGTCGAAGCTCCCTGTGAAAGAGGGGAAATAGAATTTCAAATACACGCCAACATTCAAGGACTGAGTAATCACCCGGAATATGTACTGCTCTGTCACAAAATCACTGTTCTCGCGAAAGAAGACCCAATGAATGAATCAGACATACACGCTGTGGCCCATACACAAAAACACTGCAGTTTAATGTTTCAGTCTAACCTCCATTGGGCCCTTGCTGGGGCAGGCAGAGGCGGTGGCAGAGGCAGTAGCGGTTCTCTTGGGAAGCAGGGTCTTGCGTCGAAGCTGATAGGGACTGTTTTGAGCTCCTGGACCAGACTCCTCAATAGCCATTTCTGCTGCAGCTGCTGCAGGAGCCTCCTCATCTGGACAAAAAGGAAAAAAAACAGATTTCCTATACATTCACCATATTTTTTGAAGAGGCACTTCAATGCAAAATGCTGCAGTATAGGGCAAGGCCATGCAATTAAAAATGAATGCACTGGCTATTCCTCTATGTTGCTCAAATACACAACTCAAAAATGTGTCAGGGAAATCGCAGTTGACACCTTGACCAATGACACACGTATTCTTCTTGCGGTAATAACACAATGGTGTGCATTCAGCTCACACGCTGTAGGCACATTATGCAGGCAGGGTACGAGTTGGAAAGGCAGACAAAGGTTAGTGACTGATAATGGCAGATGCACCCCCTGCAGTCACATTAGCGGTCTTTCCCGTCTAGTCATACGCTGCTTATATCAGACAACGTGCATTTGTTTCTGTGTCTTGCATGTGCAGGATCGGACTCCTGTTTTACGATGCTGTCAAAATGAAGGGCCGCGGGTGGAAGTCGATCGGACGTGAGGCTAATGGCTATGAAGTGAACTGCGTAGCTGGAAAATCCGCGGTGTAAACAAATGGAGCTGGGGCCAGCAGACTCCGGCGAACAAGGAAGGGGATGTGGGTCCAATCTGCTGGCAGCTTTGAACTTACAGACCCGAGCAGAGAAAAATGGACTCAGTGAATTCATCCACACCGCATCATCCACCACAGCTGATCGAGCTTGGCCTCTTGAAGCTGGGGCGGCCACTGGTTAAGAAATTGCCCCGATTCGCCGCTAATGTTTTTTTTTTTGTTAACGTTACACCCCGAAAATGGCAGTCCAAAAAAGACGCCGCAGATTTACACCCTCGGAATCGTTAGTGACAGCTGGGAATGCGACGGCCGAGAAGACACGCAGATTGTGGTCAGAGTGTGTGAAGTCGATCCCTTTGCCTCCAGCTGGAGTTACCCGATTTTGCGCTATTAATGTCGATCGTTTAGTTACATACGCATTACGTTCGGCGAAGACCCCCCCACCCATACACACCACACACACACACACACACACATAACATGGTAAGCTAGCTAGCGGTGTTAGCTAGCCCCAATCACTCAAGCCAAACAAAGCGCGGCCTGGCCTAAGCCACAGAGCAAGAAGCCTCGGGTTTTCCTGCTGAACCCGCCGTCTCTAGGAGCGGCGAACGGGCCAGCGGCAAAACAACGACGGTCGCGTACAGACTGTTAGTGCATGACAGGGCTTCGCCTTCAGCCGTCGGCTGACTGCGGCCGAGTGTACCTCTGTCCCCGTTGTTCCGTTCGGGCTGCACCGGGCGCGGCCTTGACACTCGCCTGGGTCTCCTGTTGGTGGCTCTGACGGAGTTCATCTGGGGAGTTGGTGGTTGAGAAAAAAAATAGGCTATTCTCGACCACACGCTTGAAAATGTAGCCCTCGACCCAAACTAACACCCGCTCCGCGCCGTTCCGAGATACACCCAAACAATTGCGATCAAAAAACCCGCTGGTATTTGGGGTGTAATCGCTTTTTTTCCCCCCTCCGTGGTGTTACAGCTCCCCCCGTATCGCTGCTCGGTGCCAGCTTCGTCTCAGTCTGTAGCAGGAGGAGCCATTAACCCACACGGGAAACAATCGCGAGAAGGGAAAAAAAAAAGAAAAAAGAGCGTGAGTGTCCGCTCGGCCAATCACATTTGGCGTTCTATGTCAGCGTCCCGCAGCTGCCAATCAGGAGCCTCGTATTAGGTGACTTGACAAACCTTTCTGTTGGGACTTGGGATCGGTCAAGCGGCGATTTGATCGATGCACCAGCAATAATAAAGCTAAAAAGGTAATTCACGGCCTCGGACCCCATCGTCTCAGTTGCACGAAGGACCGAGGTACAGCATCCTGTAACAGTGTTCCACATGGACGAAGGAGAGCAATCACTTGTGGACCAGTTATTTCAACAACCCCCTTTAATCGTTAACAAAGACCATAGTCTTGAATTTCGCCTATTGTCTTCCTATCTGATTGATTTGTTATTTACCACATGTTAGGGAAGATGCGAGGTATGTTGACCATAATGAACATTGGTGGGCCAAATAGTGGTCAGGCTGTAACAAATGTTTATATTTAGAAGTTTAAACATTTATATTTTCAAATGTTCACATCTGTTAAATAACCGAAAATGTAATGCAAGATATATTTATTTTGAGATAGAGCTAAATAATCTAATTTAAAAGCAATTTAGTTTAATTTAGGATTCTACTTAAATGTTGTCTTGCTCAATGTATTCAATATAATAATTTACACAAATAATTTTGATTTTGAGAGGAGGAACACGTTTTGTAAATTAATCAGTAAATAACCAGCAGATGGCATTGTAAGGCTGTAAACGATCAGGCTACGATCTCAAGGCATCGTAAGACTGCTATGTTTTAATGTTGCAATATTTATAGTTAGTAGTTCAATTCAGTGTTTATTTTGCCACCTTGTTGTTGCTGGAAAATATATTTGTGTATAATTTAATAATTGATCAATGAATATGGGTTTGAGCATGACACTATTACAATTACAGAGGGATGTAATCATTTTTAATGTGATTTTGGAAAATATAATCAAGGTTAACACACGTATACACAATCTTATACAGAGTAAAAGAAAAAAAAACTCTGCTAATGGTAACGTTCTGCTTGTTGTGTGTTATTACTCTTTATTAGATAGTTGTCAGTGAAGAGATGAATGCAAAAAATGAAGGTCAAAAGAATGCCCCAAATATTATTGCTCAAAGATGTTCCAGTTAAGCATCATTTGAGGATTAACAACAGAAGCACAACTTGGCAAGTGTCAAGTGTTTTATTCTATAGGCCCCAATGTGTCCCATTGTTTCCTAGTACTTTGTTTTAAGACCTTAATGCTTAGATTGTCAGCACCACATGTGCTATATTGTCGGCGGGAGCAGGATAGGAGAAGGGGGTCGTTCAGACGTTTCAAGTTGTGAGCTATAAATCTTATCAGCATGTCTCGGAAACAACATTATTCATTCACAGACAGGAACAATAACACAACCTTGCATGGAACTGTTCTCTTTTCATAATAGAGATGGTTAAACGTCTCTGTTTTGATATAAACATACATTTATATTTTATATATTGTCTATACAGAGACATGAAATAAATGACACCCCCTTAAAGAGAATAGTGGAATTTCTAATTCCGTTAAAACTTCCACATATTTGTATCTGTATTAATTGGACCTTACGCTGAACGCCTTCATAGGTCTGCTTTAGTGTCCCCATCCATTGTTTGTTTGTAGTTCCCTGGATATCGGGGTGACAACAGTCGGGCATCAGTAGCACCATCTGGTGGTTAAAAAGTATAAATGCACCCTCACATTCTACGTTGGCATGTAGGAGGCAGTGTATCCATATCAATGAGATGGACTCGGATTCCTTCTTGCAGCTGCAGCCTTGAAACTCTGGGCTGCTTGCTTCTGTGTGTGTGTGTGTGTGTGCTTTATCTAGTTGCCATATCCATCTGTCTGTAATAAGCAGAGAGAGCAGCTGTGTAGTCTCCCCTCCCCTCCCACAGCCCAACAGCCACCCTGGCACGCAGGGCTGAGGTTGGTCGGGTCACTTTGTCCTTGAAAACTGTGGATGCTGTGAAGGACAGCATTTCTAGATAAAGACAGCTTGTCTTGATGTGTGTGTGTGTGAGGTTTCCTTCATGCACTCACATTCGCCATAAAATGAAATGAAGCTATTCAAGGGCACAGGTTCTAATAAGCAAATTCATATTTGACATTGACAACCATAACAATTATTTTTCTTGAACACACAGATGTACATAAAAACGGGTTGACGTGGTAGTCATTTCATTTACAAAGGATAAACATAATTTAGATACGGAGATAAATACAGGTTTTTCATTTCAAGACAAACTGAAGTGTAGGAGACATGTGGAGGCAAGAGGACTGCAGAGTTTATTAATGAGCACGTCCTTGCAGTGAGCTATCATTCATCAAAAATTACCCTCCTCTCCCGACTCTACTCTTTCTAATTTGACTACTAGTTCTAATTGTTATGACATAGGACACCCAAACCCATCTGGCATTCCAAACAGTGTAAAACAAAAGCGAGGAATAATCTAGGACAGCTATTTGACCTATATTTGGTCAAAGTATCTGCAGTTGTTGTATAGCTTTATCTTTCCTTCAAGTTATTTGTATCACACTGCACATATAGTAAAGTTTTACAGTGGGTTACATGGTTTAAGGAGGACTCTTGTGCTCTGTGTGGTTGCAGGTCAGAGGTCAGGGCCGGGGGTTGTTGGCGTAAGACACAACACATCGGAGATAAGTAAAAACTTGCAAAATTGGCGTGAGTTGGCCCGTCATCCTCAGGATCTAGCAGTCCGTTCTGTGTCTCCCCATTTTTTACACGTGAAAAAAAGTGCACCTCTGGAGCAATGTTGAATAAGGGTGCAATGTATTCTCTCAATATGTCCAATAGACTCACGAGGAATTTTCTTTTAAGACTAGGACTTTCGGGGCGGAAAGAAATAAGACCCTTCAAACAATCAAGCAAAAAGCCTTCGTCTGTCTACATCTTCAAATCTTCAAATGACAGTCAGGACTCCTGTCTCCCATTTAAAGCGTTGGACAAGGAGCACAGCATGACGTGGCTGCTCTTCGGAGAGGTCCATGCCGGCTGCTGACAGGAGGAACTCTCTGTACGGTAAATCTGCGCCCGCGTTTTAAACAGGCCGAAGCGAGCCGCCAGGAGAAAGAAATCCCGCCTGAAGGTGCGCGTGAAGAAGGCGTACAGGAAGGGGTTGGAGCAAGAGTTGATCGGGTAGAAGAGGACCAGCAGGAGTTTGGCGTCCGAGACGCTGATGAGAGGGAGCTTGAGGGCGGCTGAGACAGCAAAGAAGGAGATGGGAGCCATGCAGACAAAGTCAGTGAAGATGAGGACGGCCATGCGTTGGGCCACACGGGTGTCGGCGTGCGCCGGTGCAGACGAGGGGTTGCGGACGGTCAGGTAGATGCTGAGGTAGCAGCCGCACACACAGAAGAAGGCCACGATGTTGAGGATCAGGAGGGACACCACGTAGACCTGAGCCTCCAGGGACTCCACGTCCATGGGCAGGCAGATACTCACCTTCACCCCAAACAAATAGACACATTCAAATAGTCTACAAGAACCTTGAATGTTCTTCTCTACTTCCATGTCAAATCCTGCCCTGCAGAGTTCAGGGTCAGTTAAACCTTAGCTCTCAAAGGGGTTGTGAACCAGTGGGCTTTATGAATAGACCCCCCCCCCCCCCCCCTTTATCTGGAAATGTTTTTTATATTTATATGAGCAAAGAAACAAAGCCACCAACGTCAGGTCCTCAAATTCATTTGATATACAGAAGACTTTGTTCAAACAGATGCTTTTCTTAGAAGGAACAAAGAACATTTCATTTGAATTTGACAGCATTGAAGAAAAGTGTACAGCTAATACACTTTCTTTAAAATACATTATATATAGGAAATTCCTTTTTAGACTCTCCAAAAAGAAAACTGTGCAATAATAGTCAATGGCTTGGAAATGCACCATCGCACCTTTGTGTAAATGTTAAAGTAAAATGGAAATATTGGTTTGGTTGACCGACTAAAATAACCTGAAAATATTTTGATGTCACTGTTTTTAAATCAATCAATTTTCAAGCAATGTGTTAATTCACTGCCTTCCCAATGTTCTACATTATAGTGGATTAAATATTACCATTACCATTTTGGACTGTTGGTCGGAGAAAAGAAGACATTTAATAACGTCCCCTCGGGTTCCGTGAATGCATCTAGCTGTTTTCATAAACTGCATCTCAAAATAGCCATTCTACAAATAACATTATGCAAAGAAATACTTCACACTTCCTGAATATGTTAAAAATATTTTGACTACAAAATGCCATCAGTTTGTAGAACATATGTTCATACACTATTTTACCCACCAAACTCTGAAAGGATCACACGGAACCGTGAGTTGCAGCGTGGGCGTTCAGTCCAAAACACTCACCTTGCCGTAGCTGCTGACGCCGACCGTGGGCAGCAGAGCGGCGATGGAGGAGAAGATCCAGCCCGCCGTCATGACGATGCATGCGTGTCTCAGTCGAAGCTTGCGGTCGAGCCGCATAGCGTGCGTGATGGTGTGCCAGCGCTCCAGCGTGATCGCTGTCAACGTGAACACCGACAGCTCACTGGCAAACACCTGTAATTGAAAAAAACAACAAAAAAACAACACAGATGTTCATGAGCATAGATGCAGAGCTGTCATATGTATGCAAAGGACTCTGTGTGCACGCTTCCACACCGTAAAGAAGCCTGCGGCACTGCAGCCAACGCCCGTCTGCCAGTCTATGGCACCGTTGTAGTACTGGCCGCGGGTGAGCATGTCCACGGTTGCTATGACTACCAGGTAGATGCCCATGCAGAGGTCAGAAAAGGCCAAGTGGCACATGAGGAAACGCGGGACAGTCAATTTGGAGCGGCTGCCTGACGACACAACGGCGGGAAGGAAAAGGACAAAAGATACTTTGTAAAGAAGTTGTTATTCCATTAAGAAAAAGAATAACCCTTCATTTCGCTGTCATGTCAAATCCTTGTAATTGCAGTTTTGGGAAGGAGAAGTGGAAGTAACAGAAGATATAAAAGCCAAGACAAAAGCAAGGAACTGAAGGAAGGAAGGAAGGAAGGAAATAGGTAAAGAGGGATGGAGTGGAAGAATGAACAGAAACAAGGAAAGCAGAGTAAAAAAGAGAGGAACTGATAAACACAAGACAAGTGATGAGAGAAAGTAAAAGTAGGTCATGATAACAGAAGGACAGATATGAAGAAGGAGCGAAGAAAGTAGCAAGGAAATGACGAAAGTAGGAAGTTGACTTTGCGATGATTGTCCCGTCCTTTACCTAACAAGACCAGAAGTACCGCCGTGTTCCCGAGCAGTGCGAGGACAGCGATGATCCAGATGAGGACCCGTAAGGGGACAGTGGTCATGATGTCCTCGCAGGGGTTAAACTCATCCGCGGTTGGTCTGCAGGTGATGGAGGTTGAGTTGACGCAGTAGTCTTTTCGGAAGTTCACTTCATGGTTATCAGGGATCTGGGAGCATAGTGGGTGCCACCTCGTTCTATCACAACACAGAAAAAAGACCACATAAACTACATTATATTAATATTAATACTGTTATATTACATTAGTTAACCTATTATTCACCTGTTCTTAAGACACAAACACAACAACTTTGGATCTGAGTTAGAAAATTAGTTTTTGCCTTTCTCACATTCCTATCAGGACTTCCGTATTGTATTTACTTGAAGAGTATGGCTTTGTGGGTAAAAGGCTACTACAGTGTTAGTTAATGGTAATCAACCAGCAATTAAGTCACATTGAGAAATCCTCAACAAAAAGGTAAATGCTAAAATCATTTGTCATCGTCTGTCACTTACAATTACATATTATGTATTTTAATTGTCAATGATTCAAAATATCCTTAAATGTCTGTTTGTATTAAAATACATTTGCAGACAAAATAAATCCCCTATTTGCTCTTAGGAGAAATTGTCAGGCAAAACCTTTGTCAGCATTGAGAGGAGCGAGGCAATTTGTGTTTTAGACAGAGCCAGGCCAGCTGTTTCCATCCTTTATGCTAAGCTAAGCTAAACGTGCAGATGTGAAAGTGATATTGATCTGCTCATCAAACTTTCGGCAAGAAATATTGACATATTTTTCTGGATTTATTGTCTATTTAATTACTAATAAGGTGTTCAGACACCATTTGACAGTAATGCTTGGCCTACCCGTTCCTCTTCATGCTTTGGAAGGGGCAGCAGTGTGACGGGTAGGTCAGGTTGGCCTCGCTGAGTTCGGTAAAGCGCTGCGGAGGAGGAAGTTTTTTCAGATTATCGGCGGACTCAGCGATCAGCGTCTTGAGTCCACTGAGGATGTTGTCCGGCAAGGAGCTGAGGGCTGTCTGGGAAATGTCCCTGCACAAACAACTACATGTTGGTATCTAATAGAGGAGCTACAGCCATTATAATTTCTGAATCAATGCTATGTTAAACACATGTTTTGTTAGTGTAATTTGACCTGTAATCAGTTCATTAAATCTGTTTTTACTTCCGTTTTGCTCGGAATCGAAACACTGAAACTGAAATTTGAGCAGAAATCTAACTGCAAGAGCAGTTTCATTGCAATAGGGATCAGTGGAAAGTGGATTCAAAAGACAAATGACATCCCATGAGCAAAACCAGTCCTTTTTTTGGATTGCTACCTGAATAGATATGGGAAATTAGCAAGTGAAATAATTGCTCTGTACACCAGTTCCTGCTCTTAGTTTATTTTTATCTTAAATCTGGCATGGCATTAAGTGTTTCTGAGCCTCCACAAATCCTACATTGTTTCCTTTTTTTCTTCTAGTGTAATAAGTGATGATGAGGAGGGTGAATCATGCAGGCATGAGTTACTCTTGGATGGAATTCTTACAGTAACGACAAACCACCGCAACCCACAAAGGCGTTGGGATTGATGTCAGTAAGCTGTTTGTTTCCTTTTAGGTATCTAAAGAGAGACAAATTAAAACATGTGAGCTGAGCTATTTTTTCTTCTTTTGAGTAAATCATCTGTTTGTTATCGCGTCTCTCTGTCCGTGACTCACAATCTGTGCATCTTCGTGCCGTTGAAGGCGTCACTTGCCACCTCCCTGATGCCATTTCTGGTGAGCCGTCTGTTATTAGAAAGAGAAGCCAAGTTACAGTCATGTGGGGCCAACAAACAATTCACAACTATTACTTATAAGTTAATTTAGGTGTGGCTGTATGAGTACGGAGGAAACACTGAAAATAACTTATATATTATTATCATGTAATATTTCCTTAGAGATCTTGGAATCCGTTGTCGTTTGAAACAGTTGGCAATGGTATTCAAATCTCATTTAAATAATGTAGTAATGAAGAATTTAAAAGTACTCTATTATAATGTGAGTAAAAGACCCAAAAAATATCACAAAACCAAAGTTCAACAGTTTAGGAAACACACTTCATTTAAATGTACTACTCATTTAAGACTTAGATCTTAGATTAGTCAGTTAATTCAAAATGTAAATACATGTTTAAAAAGTATCATTAGCTAAATTAACTCATCTAACTAACATTTTAGATGAATTATTATGTGGAAGAACCTTTAGTGTTTTGTTGCTAAATATAGTAATATTTAATTATCATTACTGATACCATTTAAGATCCATTTTAACGTTGCAACTGGTCAAGAGGGAGCTAATTTGAACTATTATATATTTTGTCAATAAGTCTGAAGCTACTACAAGGAACTGGTTTTGTTTACTTGTGTATGTCATCAGTACGCTCGTAGCTGTACGTTCCGTGATGTAGTTTATTAACTGACATGACAAGGGATGTATTTAAAATAGCTATTTGTTTTGTATCCAGTTATCTGTCAGAAAATTGTACTGGACCAAAAAGCACAGTATTTAGAAAAAAAAGGCAAACAAAAATACATCAGTAAGGGTGTTCAAAATGTTTGAGAAACATCCGTCGTTGGGCGTATAATGCCCACTCTGAACTGTTTGAGGGAGCCGCCGGATGGATCCCTTACATCTCGCTGATAGTTTGATTGCAGAGGCCTCGGAAGGCATTGGCCGGAACGAGCCTTATTTGGATGTTCTCCGTGAAGTGGCTGAGCAGCACATTGATTCGAAAAAAACAAAAAAAAACATGATTGACCACAAATACTGAGTAGAAAAAGATATATGTATGTCAAAATATCAGGAATACAAGCTACAATCCACTTTTTAAATGTCAATGACGCCAAATGGGTGACAGTCTAAAATGTTTTTTTATTTTCAGATGCTGGAAGTGAAGGACAGATGGTTTCCTCTCCCAATATTCTGTGTTGTATAGTGGACTAGTCAGTGCGTAGGTTTCAACTGCAGTGTGATGTCTTCTGGGCATTTCTAGTGTGCAATCCAATATCCTCTATACTGTATGTTCAAGTACATGTGGGAATAATTGTGTGTCGGCATTTGTTGTCGATTTGTATCTTTTAGACCTGTTGTGTTTAGACCTACAATTGAAATTCTTTTTCTGTGGAGTGGATCTCACTCAAGTTTGGAAACGTTGTCAGCCCAGTGCCGGAGATCGTCCTGTGATGTTCAGAATAAACACCAAATGTTACTACATTCAAACTGCAACCTAGGAACAACAGATACTGTGTGCAATCAGCGTGTTACTGATTATTCACAGAAAAAACAGAATGAACTGACAAAAGAGTGTCGATTTACGCTGTGTAAGTAACATGTTAACATCTTTTTACACTACTGAAGCGATCATGTGCTGATGTTCAGCTGGAATGGAATCTATCACGTTCAGCATCTTAGTTCATCATTGTGCTCAGTAGCAATAACAGAACGCTAGTCAGCCAAGCCGACGTAAGCCGAAATACGGGAAGTAGTTTGAAGAAATTTTAAATTTTCGCAGCTGTTACTGCTGTTGTTGTTTTCTGTCTATTGCCTCTCTCAAATGTAATCGAATATACTTTGTTGTCTTTTTATGCAGTATCGATTGGTTTCATCTTTTAGACCACCAACTGGGCCATTTTAATAAATTCCTATGGTTAAAATAGGTTTCAAAAAGCATTTTTCAGAGGGATTTGCTGTTTAGTAATATAAAATCTGAAATATTTAAGATCAAACTCAAAAGATAATTTGTGCTACGGTGCCCTGGTTGAATAGTTTGATAATAATGATTCTTCTCAAACATAACAATCTGATTTTGGCCACTTATCCTTTACTACAGTTAGCAACTTCAAAACAAATAAAGAATCACACTTAGTATTTTATTAGTTTGTTATGAATATGGATAATATGGCAGATCATTTTTTATTTTTCTATGAGGTGAAGCGTGACACTGGATTTCTCTTCCTAAGCTAATTAAAAAAGGATCTCTGGTCATGTGGGGGACCCTTCAGAAGTAGGCCTGTCACCCATGACCCATTTTGTACTGGTAAGCAGCTTGAAACGCACAAACTGAGGAAGAAAGTATTCCACACCCGCTGCGCTCTCATTGAGTACTCACAGAAACTTCAGTTTCACGATGTTCTTGAATGCATCTTGGTGGATGTGTGTCAGGGGCTTTGACTGGGTTATCTGTCTGAAAAGAACACATACAGTCACACAGTCAAGACTGGTCTTACTTGACAGCTATTATTTACCGTCATCCTGCCACTTATACTCACATCTCGGTGAGTTCAGGGAGATCAGAGAAGGCAAATGCCTCGATTCTCTTCAACGCAACGTTGTCAGAGATGTGGCTAAGGAAAACAAAAAACGTGTAAAGAAAAATAGCACATTTTTATCAGCTCTCAGATCTTTATTAACACTCATTCTGTCTTACATTTCTTTTCTCCAAAACACTGCTTACAAGCTTACTCCTCACCAAACGGGCGAAAAAGCCTTTCAGAGTTTGCAACTCTTCTTGTTCCATGACAAAAACTAGACACACAAGCACGCACGAGCGGCGGCTTTTTACAAGACGGTATACTCACATTTCTGTGAGTCGAGGGTGTTTGGCAAAGGCAAATTCGGTGATGTTCTCGAGGTTGTCGTTCCTCGATATGTGGCTAAGATTGGGAAGGAAGTGGAAGTGGGTAAATAAAGGGTAAAAAGAACAACGCCACAACTACATCTGGGACCACAACCCCACTCCTAAAAAACAATTCACGCCAAGGCCAATCACATACTTTTGAATTGTTGCTATCAATTATTTTTTTAGTGATCAAAACTTGTGTAAATACGATGGTGCATTATTTTAATAAATGCTTTATGTACTTCTAAGGGACAAAGGGACGTTATTAAAGCGATCTACATTCCAGAGCCGTGTCGCTTCTCCCCAAGATCTCCAGGCCGGGAGAGAGTTGAGAACGGTAAGTCGGCCAGCTGCCCGTTTATTTTTAACTGGTTTTGTGCTAGAGTTCTGAAATGAGCACGGTTTTCTGTCTTTTGTGTTAAATAGTGCTCGTTTGATTATAAATCCTGAAAAAACGGCTTCCACGATGAGACTTCCACTGTGTTTGGATCCTTATCCTGTGTTTTGACCTCCTCCATTTATTGTTACATTAAAGAATGAACATGGTCAACAGACACTCACAGTATCCTGAGATCCTGCATGCTGGTAAACATGCCCGGGGAAATCACCGTGATCGGCGTCTGTGTGACTTTCCTGTTGATTCAGAAACCAACACTCACATCAGCTCTCACTCGTCACAAGAATCTGTAGAGAAATCTTTTTTGTGGCCATTTTTGTTGTGTGATGACGGGAACGTGTGCTTTAGCTCTTTCACATGGCCCAATGGGTCATGCAAAATGTCATGCAAAATGTAAAATATTTATGGATCTATGGATACACACCGATTTTTTGTGAGAGACACTGAATTTGAAAATGTAAATGTAGCTTTTGTTTTGTTTACAAGAAAAGTCTTTAATCTGCGGGCAAATTAGAAAGGTGGTTACGCTGGCAGTTGTGGATGAGCAGACACACTTTGCATACATTCCCTGAAGTAGATGAACGCTAACAGCAAATTCGGTGTAACAAACCCGCCAGGAGAAGATGAGCCAGGATCATGGTGGAATGTCTCAATTGTTATGCAGGCTCATTTAATGTTGAATTGATCAAATGCTATGGTCCCAGAATCTGTATTAGAGTAGGATGGTAACTGAAAAATACAATTTCGGGAGGTATGCTTTGAAAGACACGGGCACTTCTGAGGCAAAAAAGAAGCATGAGTTGCACTGTGAGAAGTATCCGGTGGAGCTCGACGAGTCAGGAGATCTTGCCATTTACATCGTTCCATTGTGCCCTTCCTGTTTTAAACGCGTCTTGCAAGTCTCACAACAACAAATACAATAAAAAACATAAATTGATGAGGACCAGAATTTGTCAGTACAGTTTTCAATAAGACGAGGAACCGCGGAGCTGTGCAGCTTTCGGCGTTACAACTTCTAAACTTTCTCTATGAGATGTGCGGTCAGTCAAGTGAAATGGAAGCGTCGACTGTGCGAGTGCTGCAGATATGTTTGTGAATAAATTATGTACTTACAGGCATTGGGTGCTGGGGAGATTCTCTGTGACCCCAAAGCGCATCTCTGGGCACCAGTGCTCGGTGTGTTTGGCCACGTCGGTCTCCACTCCAGGCTTTATGTCCAACTCAGGGGCGCGCGCCGACGTTGCTGCCGTCTTTATTACCACGAACATGCACATGATCAAAATCATCACTATCATCACCGGGGTCTGTTGTTGTTGAAAGTCCAGCTTGTTGTATGTGAAGCTTTTTCCAATCTCCTTGTTTGTCTTCCTTTTATCTTCCCACTCCTGTTTACTTCCCTCTATCTCCTGCGTGGTGTTTTACATGTGTACAGATCTTCCACCAAAGCCCAAGTTCCACATTATATTGAAATGTTTTTGCCCGTTTGTCCGTCCACGCACTCCAGGAGGGGGGGCCGCCAGGTCGGAGAGAGGAGATACGTGCGGTGTCTGTTGAGGGTTCTGCTGCCTTGCAGTGGTGAATAACAGGGGTGGGACTGGGAATGAGGATGTAGGAGGTCTTTGCTGGGTTAGACATCTGTGTGTGTGTGTGTGTGTGTGTGTGTGTGTGTGTGTGTGTGTCTGTGTGTGTGTGAATCCGAAAAAGGACCCACTCTTTGTAGAGATCCTGATGGGATTTTGTGATAGAGATAATTCTTTTCAACTCTTACATATTTTAGTCTGCCCGAATATCTGTTTCCACTGTTTACCCATTGAACTTTGACACGTTATATCAATTATTCAAATCAAAACAGACAAGCGTTAACATGATAATGACTTATTCAAAACACATTTAAGAATACACTGCGGTTTAAATAGGCTTAAGTTGAAATTAGTGAAACTATTCGCCCCCCACGCTCAGCAAGAACTTTCTTATCAATAGTTTCTGGTAAGTACATCTGGGTTAATTATATTTTAAGAGTAAATAAAACAAACATGTAGCTTGAAATTCATGTCAACAATCAAAAAAATGAATAATTATGTGGAGTGAATGTGTTTTGTCTCCTGTCTAATATTTGTGTTGAAAGATGAGTACACTTTGATACGGATGGACACAATATTCTTTTCTCAACTGCACTCCCCTCACGTCAGCAGGACAGACAGTTTGCAAGGACACTCTCTGCGCACACACACACACACACACACACACACACACACACACACACACACACACACACACACACACGCAACCTCTCCCATAGTTTTGCCTATACACGAGGGCAAGGAAGAAACAGAAAGAGCAGAAGAAAGACGGAAAGATAGAGGCTGAAAAATGCAGCTTCACAAAAGAGTGGAAATGAAAGACTGAAGAAGAGGAAGATCTGTGCGCATGTGAATATGCTAATATATGATCTGCATTTGTTAATGAATTGTTCCCACGAGCAGAGAAGTTGTGAATGGGACTGTTGAGTAGTTTTTAACTCCGCTGCAGAATGCAGCCATGCGTGCAGTCCGTTTTAGGGCAAGTTCCAGACGCCTGCTAATTACATTACATTACATGTCATTTAGATGAAGCTTTTATCCAAAGCGACTTACAATAAGTGCGTTACAGCAAAGATACAAACTCAGATGAACATGAAACAAGAAAGTGCAATTTCAATGCATGTGTCCAGTCACAGAGATAGTGGGGCACTTCCATGGAGCACAGCCATCGTTAATTCTATTGTACCCACTTAGGGTTTTCTTGCTGTGATAAGTCATTTGTAGGTGTTGAAGATGGTGTATTGATGATGTAAAAGCCGACACTTTGATTGGTTTCTTTTTCAGAATTTCCTATCGGCCAACATTTTAGTAGATGGCAGGGACTGGCTTAAATAATGGACGGATTTTTAAGTCAACTGTTAAAACAAAGTCAAATATATATATGTGTTAATGTTTTCTGGTGAGCAATGAGCATTAAAGCCTTATTGGACTGTGGGTTTTAAAATGCAAATGCCGGTGCTGTATGTTAACACACAACAAAAAGGCATTAAAGCAGCAATTTTGACATGTGTGACTCAACTGTGTCTGTTATTAGTATTTCACTTCTCCCTCCCAGTGAGCTATCATGCACAATACCAATGGTAATAATTGTATTAATAACACCCGTGTTTACCCTGCAATTACATATCAAAATGGCTGCTGTGAAAAGGGCCTATTGGCCACGAATGAGGCCAGTTTTTTCTCATTTAACCTATGAATATACCAGAGTTGTGTCTTTATCTCAGGTGACCGTGGTCAAGGACAGCACAGCGGCGGCAGATGGCTACAGCCTAACACAGGCCTTTTGTTGAGCACAGACTATTCAAAGCAAAAAGTAAAAGACAAGCAGGGAGAGAACAAGATGCGAGCGTTGGGAGGTGTTTATTGAAATAGCACGTCCTCGTAGCTTCTCTCACCTGAGGATGCATACTCAGCCCTGCAGTCCCAGGCATCTTTCATCCGGCAAACATCAACTCTGCAGAGACTTGTGCACCACTGCGCTGAGTCATACTTCAAAGCCCTGTGTGGTGTGGGCAGAGTTTCTGTCTGTCTACTGTCCCAGTTGGACACAGTGGGACTTGAAAGAAAAATGTATGTAACAAGTGGGAATAGGAAAATTTGATTGGGAATCTGCAATGAGTTTGTTATTGAACTTTTACCTTCTGGTGGAGAGTTAGACGGGTTCTTTGTTCTTTAATTGATAAGTGTGGTAATGTCCATATTAGAAAACATGGAACAGATGGCATTTTTGTTTCCAAAAATACCATTAGTGTTTATATATATGAGGCTTTGATTAGATAAGCAAGGAAAAGTTAAAAATGATCAAAGTAACCGGATGTAGTTTGTTCTGTACCCCCAAAGTAATTGTTGTTAACTTTTTAATTGGACCTGTTGTCTACAGCTTTCTGCTTCAATAACAAAATTACCCCTCAGGAATAACTTCGTTCTTTCAGAGAGAAAACAAAAGTGCTCACTAGCCCGACTATTTGACTTGTTGCCTCTAAAGGTTTCCGTATAGGAGTAAAAACTAAGTAGTCAGGTAGTAGTTTTGATAAAATGACACACAACATAAGATACAATATGCTAATTACTACACTTTCGAGGAGAAACCTCTGTCCCCATTTCTAAAAGTGTACATAAACATTCTGGTTTTACTCTCAACCAAAAAACTCGAACTATTCCTTTAAGTCTGAATTATGTCTCATGTGTTCTCATGGACGATGTGAAACGGACACACTAAACAACACTCCACGCTCACTTGGGTAATATTTTATTTACTCATTAATCTTCAAAACTATTTTTCATAATAAATTTCCACTTTATGTTCATCAAAGAACCGTAACAATAAAAATAAAAGAAAATACTGTAGAAAAATTGTACATATAGAAAATAAACATGGTTAATGAACACCTAGATGTAGAATCCCAGTGATTGAGACGCCTCCTTTATTTCATATGGCAACACAACAGAGATAGAGGGGAAAGAAAGCGATAGACACGGAGGCACTGGGAGGGCAGATAGGGAAACATACTAAACAAGGGGAAAACAAGAGAAGGGAGGAAAAGGAGGTCAAGGCCAGTTGGGGATGGAGAGAATAAGGAAATATGTTATTTTTATATTCTGAATTCTCACACAGTTCTTTTCACATGTTCCTTCTTGCTCTCCAGCATTTTTGCATGCATCTGTCTGGTTGGCTTCGTGGCTTGGAAGATCTGAAGGGGTTTTTTCATAGTTATGGCACTGTTTGCATTGGTATATTATGGAGACACAATTATTAAGCTGTAGAGGGCTCAGACGCGGGACAAGTCCATAAACAGATAATAACCCACCTGTCTGTCCTGCATTGGTGATGAACGTGGACAAATCTGTCGATGGCCTATGAGACGGCTAGAAAAGAGGACGTGGCCTGCGGTGGGCGAAGACATCCAGGCGTTGTGCTGGAGTTACACCGCGACCCGCCAACAACCCCCTTCCTCCTTCTCCTCCTTCTCCTCCTCCTCCCACAATCAAACCTACCACCTCCGGGCCCGTCAGTGGCACAGTCCGCCACCGTCACGGCTCAGAGACTCAGGCATGCAGCGCACCCGAGATGGTCACACTTTGTCAACGAGGATTTGAGCTGAGTCGATGCAGAGATTAAATCGTGTGTCGAATTCCGCGGACCGAAAACCGTTTCGGAGATCGTATTTAGGAGTACTTACAAGCCAAGGTGGTAAGTTTATGATGGTGACGCGTCACGCTGTAACCTCTGGAGTTTTCAACGTGATATAAATCACACGGAGTAAGATAATTCACGTGCAATAGGACCCCTCCCCCCTCCCCTCCCACCCCCTCCCTTCCCCGAAAGAGTCTATTCTGCCCAAATGTTCTTCATATTCAGCATTATCATTGCAATAACAATTATCATAATGGTCATTGTCAGTTTCACCATTGTCTTCTTGTATAGTCTTCATGTCAGCTGTGAAGATACGGTGCGACTTTAGCATTGCAGGTACGTGTATGTCTGCAGGTTGACATTGTTTATATTTTTTCTGTGTGTGTGTGTGTGTGTATGCTGTCTGTGTGTGTGTGTGTGACACCGCAGCCATACGCAACTGGTGCCTGTAGGTAGCATCTGAAGTCTCAAGTATCCTGTCCAGGAAAATGTCTCTCAGTTTTCAACTGATTCCACCACGGTGATTTACAGGGTGCCGCAAAACGTCAGCACCACAGCCCATCCGTGCACCAGCCATGACTGCCTCTCCACTCGTAAAACGCCGTCTCTATGGCTACACCCTGATTTCCTGTCCCGCCGCTTGGGATAAGACTTGGACCGGGGGTGTGCTTGTGTTTTTTCAGCATCCTCTGTGCTTCAGCGAGTCCCATCTGCTGACAAGCAGGAAGGCCAAGAAGCCCGGAAGAGACACTAAGTGCTTGTCTTGGTGCTTTTGTATTGTCTTTGTTCGGCTGCCCTCTCGCTCGGCGCACTCAGTGCGCCATGTGCTTCACTTAAAAGTCGTCCTGGACCTCTCTGAGTCCAACACGAGAGGTCCCGCTGTGGCAGGGGAGTGACTGGTCTTGTTATCTGACGCGCTCCAAAATGGTTAACTGGGAGTTGAACTGGTGCATTTTCATCATTTGGAATGGTGTTTATGTTCATAAAATGCCTCTCTCAGAGGCTTTGCTCATTGGTAAATACTGTACAATAAGGGTCCGTGCCCGTGGGCCATCTGTAAGTGTGTGTGTGTATGTTTGTGCTCAAATGTGTGTATGTTTGTGCTTGCCAGCATGTGTGCAGATGTGACTATTGGAGAGTAAACATTAACATCAGCATGTCTATGTCAGTGTTTGCGTATGTATTTTCTTCTTTTTTGGAGAATATATCTATTTATGTACATATACCATTGTATATAAAGGTGTATGCCTATATGTCTGCGTGTTGGACGTCTTCCGCCTCAGACGTAGTACTCCTTGTCTTTGTTCTTCTTGTTCTTGGAGATCTTGGTGATCCCCAGCGGCTTGTCCTTGGCGCTGCCGTTGGGCTGTGTGGCAGAGTTGCTGATGTAGTTGCGGCTCTCGTCCACGTGGTACGAGCCCTCGTCGCGGTTGCGGTACTTGTACAT